CAAGGATGGTTGGGTCTTTTTTTTGCCTCGCTTTTTTGTCTCTTATGAGTCACAATAACTTTATTACTAGGTATCTTTTTTTTGTATCATTTTGTCACTCCGTGCACTTTTTAACAAATAATATTTTATATTCAATACTGTTTCTTTATAATTATGGAACATTTTTTAAACGATAACAAAATGAATATAACTCTACTAAACTTTGCGCATAACAGTACTAAACTTTGTATATATGTACAATTATTAAGGGTGTTTTCCAAATTATTAGTTATAGCAAAAAACTCATTTTTTTAATAAACTCAAAAATGTTAGCCATTAACAAAAAAACTCATAAACAATTACAAAAAACTTATTATTTTTACTTATAAATTATAACAAAAAACTCATTATTCTTACTTATAAATATTAAATAATGAACACTACATAAATATTAATAACTGAATAATATATTTGTTGGCCGGCGCGCGTTGCCGGCCCAGTTACGATGCGAGACGGTGCGTGTGGGCTGGCCCATTGACGCTGTGGTGGTGCGTGGGCAGGGTCGGCGGGGGTGAGGACTAAAGTTTAGTCCCACCTCGCCCGCCGAACGACGCCGCGACCGCCTTATATACCTTCCTCCCCCAACCCTTTCGAACTCAATTGATTATCCCCTCGTCCCGCCACTGCCCCGTTGCACCCGTCCTGCAGGCCGTAACAGGGCCGAAAGGCCGGCCCTTTCGCCGCCCGGCTTGATCGGGCCGGACCGATTACGCCTAGTTGCGACCTACAAGGATGGTTGGGCCATTTTTTGCCTCACTTTTTTTTGCCTCCTAGTCACGGCGTGGGGAGGGGGGAGGGGCGGGCGCTTGTTTAGTCCCACCTCGCGCGCCGAGGGACGCCACAACCGGCTTATATAGCCGCGTTCGTGCACTTTGCTATATGAGACAATTAGTAATAATTTGATTTGACTTTGCACTTCCAGTGGCGACACTGCCGTACTGCCTGGATAGTGCAAGCTCGGCTTACACTGCCGGGCAGTTCGGCAGAGCTGTCAGTTGCAGTGTAAACTCAAATCACATCATTACTATCTGTCTTGTTTTTTATCGTTTGGCACACTACGCAAATTTAGTGTCACCCCATCCGAAAGAAGTTTTTTTTCGACATGCTTCAAATGAACCCAATTTTTTTTCATAGTGTTCCACCATCATGACTAGGATGCATGACAAGTTTCATGACTTTTTGCCACTTTATGAATGTTTTATAAAGTTTTTCGGTGAAAACACCACGTAGCACACCCCGGACGTGACGCAACATGTTTTTGATGTCCAAATATGATCAATTCTTGGATTGAGTGTGGGGGTGGCCATACCAACTCACTTACAAAATTTGAGGTCATTCCCAATATGTCGAAAAATTGATCTCCTTCTCCGAAGACCGTTCGAGTAGGAGCGAAGGCCCCATCCGAAAGGAGTTTTTTTGACATCCTTCAAATGAACCCAAATTTTTTCCATAGTGTT